TATCAAAACTGTAAAAATGTATTTTTAGTATCTTTTTAATCAGCTGCAGTTCTTATATTGCCACCTCTCCGCAGGGCACAGTTTATGTCTCAGCCTGTAACTCTTCATGAAAGATCTGCTGGGTTTTGGGTGGGTTTTTTTGTTTTGTTGAGGGTTTTTTCATTTTAAATAGGCTGCCAACATCAGGAACAACGCCAGCTTTTCTCCCAGTGTCCTTCATTTCCTTCAAAGCTTTTCCTGTCAAAGTCATTTGCTTTAGGTCTCCTATTTTTTTTAGGGTGTAAGAGATGTTGTTATTTAATTAGGTTAAAGAGTCTAATTCCCAGCCTGCATTTCAAATTACATCTCATGCACCTAAGCCTTATAAGAACTTTAATCATTAAGTTATTACAATAATTGCCTGGACTTAAAATTTCCTACATGTCAGCAACAGTTATAAAAATAATTTAATTTGCATGATGTATTTATCTGCCACAATATAAAGAGATATTTCATTTAATGAAATACCTTTTAAGTGTGAACATAATCTTTACAGACAGTACAGAGACAGAAAAAAGAAGTGCCAGTTGTCCACAAAAAAACTTTTTCTCCACCTTTTCAGAGGCTGTTTTTGCCCTTTTTTTAATAAGAAAGTTTTTTTTTTCTTTTTAAAAGAGTACTCTTATGAAAATGAACCTGCAGTGTACTTGCCTGGTGAGGGACAGAGCTCTCATGGCACAGAATTCAGCTCAGTTTTTCCAGGGCATCACTGACCTGCCCTAACTTCAACATCATCTCCTGCTTGCAATTTCTTCTTATACAAACTTTGGTTAATTATAAAAAACAAACTTAAAAATATATCATTTATTATATATTTCACATATATTAACATTTCCTTTATTATATATATTAACATTTCCAGGCTAGCTCCACACTGCAGGCTAAACAAGGCAGCACAGAAAAATGCAACACTGATAAAAACAACATTTTATTTTTCACTGGGATCTAAAAAAAAAAACAAAACCAAAAAGTTACTTTAAAAGTCTTCTGTTTGAAGCACTAGGACAGCAACAATGGAACAGCTGATGCCCAAGAGCTGCCCCCACCCCCCATACAGATGCTTACTCCCTTTTCATCAAGGGATAAACCATCTCCAATTACTGCAGGCTAACATGTTATTCAAGGATAAATGTGTGCAGGCTCTTGTCCCACAATAAAAGGAAGGCAATTCAAGTCGCTTACGTCTGATTCTCATTACATGGATGTTTTTAAAAGCTGTATTCTATCTTGATTTGAGATATGGCTTTCGTTGCTCACTAGGCTACTAAGGCAAAATAGAAGAGCCTGTCCCCTTTATTTCCACTTCCCAACAGCCATGTCAGTGGAACACAGGGGAAGGAAGACACTCACTAGGAATTTCACCAACACTTACTTAAAACAACTGAAAGTACTCCCAAAAAAGACAGGAAAATGGTAAAGTCTTATCTCATTACTAAAAACTTGAGATTTTTAATTCTCCTTTTGTACCTTTATGTTTGTTTTCTCTGAAAAAAGTTAAAAAATCATACAAAAACCTAGGTATCTTCATTGGAGATTTACAAAACAGTCAACAGAACACACACACAGGACGTCACTTCTTGATATCTTGATAAATCTTAACTTACAATATTTTTATGCACTGTACCACACTTTCAAGGTTTTGTGAGTGGGATTAGAGCTGTTCAGATGTGGGTATTCAATACCACAGGACACAACTGAAGGCTGGCACACAAAACCTGTGCGGTGAGCATCTGCCAACTGTGGAGACAACCATAAATCTGGCTTTTCCTGATTTTTTAATACTTCAGCCTCACAATTCCAACAGCACTGGGTGGGATCCAATTTGCCTAATTTGGCTGAAACTGTGAGCAGTTGGGCCCAAGGGAGTAATGCAGTCCATGCAGAATCACCACCTAAATGCTCCACAGATTGAAAAAAGAGAGGACTCCCCTGAAATCCTGTCACCCACTACCTCTGACACCTGCCAAAGACAGCGGTAACCAAACAAAAAGGCACAGCTCCAGCATTAGTTTGCTGATCAGAGCTCTTAAATGGGATGTGAAATGACATGACTGGAACACACAGCTCCTCCAGTGAAGGGGAATGACCTAAAGATCAGCCTCTCCCCATCTCTGGCCTCAAAGCTGAGGCACAGCCTGAGCACAAGAAGCACCGCTTGGCATCGTTAGTGGGACCGATTCTGATGTTATTAACGAGTTGTGTGGCTTCCCCCTGCTCCCACACACCAATTTTAATCCCTTGCTGTACAGATTGCAGAATGAAAGGTCTCATTAAGTGCCCTGCTTTACACTCCCAATTAAGAGCAGCTCACGCCCACCGCAGATGGCAGAACGAGCGCCACGATCGCAGCACGTCAAGCCACAAACAGTTCTGGGCACAGGTTCTTGATTTGTTTGAGACTCTTGAAGATGAAGAATATTCAAAACCAAAGAAAGGTCACAGCATCCTTAAAAAAGTCAAAAAACAAGGAGAAAATAGTGATTTCACATATCAGGCCCAAGCTGAGAAGGCTGAAACGCAGCGATTTGCACAGGGCCGTGCACTCGCTGCAGTGAATGGGAGTAGTCATGCATGTGAAGGCACAAACGTGTGCCAGCCTTGGGTTTAACAGCCTGGTAATTGTGCTTTGGGTGAGCTGGATGAATAAACCCTGTCTGTTGACAGTGATTAAAGTAACATTTTGTTATCTTTACAAAATGCTCTGTATTTTTCCAGAAGATGAAGATCACTTGAGGATTTAAACTTTCTTTTTCAACAATACTGTGGCTTGCAACTCAGATTCAAGAAAATCATTAAAATTACAAAATCCATGGGTGACAGAAGTAACCATGTTTTTTCTCCTTCTCCATGAACTTTAAAATTTGTTGCTATACACTTTTAGTAAGACAAACAATGTGTTTGGATATTACCAACTTAGCAAAAAGGTTCCCAGCCTCATTCTGACAAGAAAATCACAGGCATCTGGTCCTCACAAAAATTTTTTACTCACTTGTAACATACAAGGCAGCAACGTCTTTGAGTTTTACATAGAGAAAAGCCAATTTGACAACAGAGGCGTTGTTTCTGTCAGATTTTTAAAAATTTTTAACTGGGTTCTATGCTCCTTATCTCTGACAGTTGCTTCTGTGCAGAAAGCTCAGGATATCTATGTATGCATGTATGAATTCTGTACATTCTGTTGTTCTTGCCTACACACAACATGATGCATCTGACTGAAAGCAGTGGTTAGCAAAAGAAGATGTTAAAATGTTGCAGGAATGACACTGAGATGGGAACAGAATGTGAAAAATCATCTTTCCCTGTTTTTTTATTCCCCCCTCTGCTGTAGGCCTGGTTTATGATGTAGTGTTACTGCTTAAATTCTTCTCTTGCCTTCTTTTCATAGGTCACTGCTGCTGCCTTAACACTTTACCACATAAAAGTTATTGTCCTACTTTATCCAAGAGGACAAGTGAAATTTATGGAGCATGGATATAGAATGACAACTCTGGAAAGTTCTGCACCTGATTTCCATGACAACGGAGACCCAAATACCTTACAGCACCTCAAAACAAAGAGCAGTGACTTTTAAAGAACTGGATTCAGAAATACCTCACTATGAGGTGAAAAAGAAAGGGGAGGAGAAAATAAATAGGATTTTGTGAAGAGCGAGGAGACAAGATTTTCATTTTATAACAGCACTGGGATTCAGGGCATTGTTATATACAGGCAGCTGTCAGCCTTGCCTGTTGGTCCCAATGACCTTCCAAAACCTTCTATTCTGAGCCATTTGTACCCATTTATAATGATTTCTCCAAATTTAGCTGGAAGTTAACAAATATTCCTCTGGCATTTCAAACTCCTTGCTTTATAGAAACAGTTTCCTGAGGCAGAAATAAGAGTCCAGGCTTGCCAGGTGTTGAACAGGAAAGTTGAAGTTCAGGAAATTATTTTCCTCATCACCCATTTTTGCATCATGGGAAACACAAATCTCCTGTGTTTAAAGCCAGTACGAAGGAAGTTCCTTGCTGCTAAAGGAAAAAGGAACAGGATATTGTTGTACAAGACCCCCTGGCAGTACTACACTAAAAACTCCCCAAAATTCAGGCATTTTAAGCTGAATTCAGCATATCACACAAATCACTTAAACTAGAATGTGAAGTCCAAGGAAGCACTGCAGGAGAAGTCTTTTCAAAAGTCAACTTCATCACAGATCAATACAAAAATTGCATCACACTAGTAAAAAACATTAAAAATAATTTACCTAAGACAAGAATGTTGTGTGCACAACTGTGCTTGCTGGAGTTAACCATTTTAGTCCTGACTCCCCTAAAAATACCTCCAGGAAGTTTTACTGAGAGCTTGTTGTTGTGCTTGCTGGAGTTAGTGTAACCATTTTAGTCCTGACTCCCCTAAAAATACCTCCAGGAAGTTTTACTGAGAGCTTGTTGGCGCAAAAGCAGATTAAAATAATTTACCTGAATAAAATTAGAATTTAGTGTTTAATTTATAGAAACTTTGGTTATTATGCAGTTTTAGTAATCCAGAACAGATTTTAAACCTGAGAATATAGCCTAAGAATGTGAGTCGGAAAAGCATTTGATGGTTTGCAGTGAAATTGTCACTTACACTTGCAAAAATAAAGAAATTCATCAGTTTAATCAAGTGTGAATTAACTGTAAGAAGCCAGTGGAACAACAGTCAATTTTATCTGAGTTAGGACAATTACTACCTGTAGAATCACCTTGGTTTTGGAACATATTCCTCTCCATTTCTCGAGCAGAAAGATGCCATGGGCTTTGTGCCCTTTCTGCTTTATATATGCAACCTCAAGTTTTTTCCATTTTTCTGTTTCTGCAGCAATATGCTTTATTAATATATTAATATATATTAGGTAATAATTTAATACCCACATAAACAAACCCAGAGTTTTCTAAATTTAGCAAAATCAGCAAACGACAAAGCAGAAGAACAGAACATACCTGCTGATAGAAAAAATTTAGAGTTGGTTTGTCCTCAGTGAACTGGTTTAGAAATCCTTTTGGCAAATACCGAATTCTCAATTCATATCTGAAAAGCAAGAAAAAGAGATTGTTGAACACGATTAAAATTAAGATTTCCTCCCAACATTCTTAAAGATACAAATAAACTAAAAATAAACTTAGAAAACTAATAGAAAACCTACCCTTTGATTAATTAAGAGAACTAAACTGAAATTTATGTGTAACAGACATTTCACAGAGGTATTTCCAAAGGACCTTTGTAACAGAAGCAAACTTAGAGCCCTGCTGCCTTCTCAGAGCTTCAGAGAGGACCAAAGCATCAAGACTTGGAGCAGATAAGCTCCAGATCCATGGGAAGGGAGGCCCCAGTGAGGTGACAACAGATGAGCTGCCAGAAGCACTGACATGACCCCTGGCAACAGCTTTTATCTCTGCTTTTCACAAGCAGGGACTTAAAACGCTGATCCTCTGCTCCAGGAGTGACAAACAGTGTCACTCACCAGGGAACCACATCCTACAGGAGAGCAAGGAACAGCACTCTGCTCCTTCTCTGATCTATGCTCCAATAGGTTTAGAAGGGATTTCTCTGGAAAAAGGTTCTCTGCTCCCTTATTCATCACCAAGACACATGCAAAAGCCAAACAGTATTGAACCTGACAGTCATATTTTTTAAGGAAATTCTATGCCAGAAGTGAGGGAAATTCAGAATGAGCCTGGACCCACAACCTACACCAAATCTGTATCACTTCTCAAACCTTAACTTCTGCTTTCAGCACCTAAATTTAGTAATATTTCTTGTCATAAACGTCTGCTTTCAATCCCTTAGTATTATTGCTTGTCCTGTGGTAACAGCCTGTGGTATTGGACACAAACTGTTTGCTTCCTCCTCTGACACATTCCTTCAATGAAAGTCTGATAATGAATGTCTCCATCCCCTGGGCTGTGCCAACACAGCATATCCTAACACACACTCTTAACAGTACTTCCCAAAGTAAGTATATTTAATAATCTGCTCATGATAAGAACAAATATTACAACATTTCAATCAGCTGGTTTCAGCAGGACAAGAACATCTTTTCAGCAAGTGATTTGGCTGCCTGTAATCAAGATTTACGTGGGGATTTGGTAAAAATTTGGGGGTAAGTGCTGCCTAGGTTTCCACTGCAAGCAGAACTTGCAATATCCTTATTTACTTAGAATTCATTGAAAATACACTTTCTTTATTTCACTAAAATAAAGAAAAAATTTGGAAATTGTAAATACACACACACTGCATATAAACAAAGAATACTGTCCTGTTAGAAACCACTAAAATAAAGAAAAAATTTGGAAATTGTAAATACACACACTGCATATAAACAAAGAATACTAGAATGATGTTCTTGTTGTGGTATGGCAATATATTTCATAATCCCTGTGCACAGAAAACATGTTAAATTAAAGAGTGAAATGCAGGAGAGGCTGAGAACACCTGACAGAGAACAGATTTACAGTGGATACAAGGGAGAAATGTACTCTGAGTGTGGTGAGGCCCTGGCAGAGAAGCTGTGGCTGCACCGTCCCTGGAAGTGTTCAAGGCCAGGTTGGATGGGGCTTGGAGCAACCTGGGACAGAGGAAGGTGTCCCTGGCCATGGACATTCCAGGGGGCTGGAATGAGTGATCCTTAAATGTCCTCAGTGCAAACCATTCTGTGACACAGGACACAGATACAGATAAACAAAAAAAATACTCCAAGTCACAGTTAAGACAAACTCTCACAGATTTCTCTCATATGTAAGGGAACACAGAATCACCTTCTATTGCTGATCAGCCTTTACACTTCATGACCCCAGCAGATAACTGGTTACTTGCTAAAATTTAGGTGTCAGCCGAATTGTACCTCCAGATGTTTATGTGTCAGGGAGAGAAGGCAGCATGAGCACATTATCCAGAAAAGCAGAGCCTCTCCTGTTTTTTATTCTGCCATATCCACTAAAATCGACTGCTGAACACAATTGCAGAGACTGACATGAAATAAAACAAGTCTGTATAAAAGAGTTCCTTCCTTTTTGAGGGCTCTGTAATCCAGTGCATTTTAGAATGACAGAATCACTAAGGTTGGAAAAGACCTTTAAGACCTTCAAGTCTAACCATCAACCCAGCATCACCACCATATTCACCACTAAAGAAAGTTCTCAAGTGCCAAATCCACACATTTTTGGAACACTTTCAAGGATGGTTACTCTATTGCTTCCCTGGGCAGCCTGTTCCAGCGCTTGACAATCCTTTCCATTAAGAATTTTTTTCTAATATCCAACCTAAATCTCTCCTGGAACACAAAAATGGTGAGAAGCAGCTGAGGAAGCAAAGGAGGCTCAGGGGAGACCTTATCACTCTCTACAACTCCCTGACAGGACAATGTAGCTAGGTAGGGGTCAGGCTCTTAAGTAACAAGTGATAGGATGAGAGGAAACCATCTCAAGTTGCAGGAGAGATTTAGACTGAATTATAAATCAGAAAATTGGATATTCAATATCAGAACAAATTTCTTCATGGGCTGTCAGAGATTGGAAGAGGCTGCTCAGAAAAGTGGTGGCATCACATCTCTGGAGGGATATAAAGGACATGTATATGTGGCACGTGGGGACATGGTTTAGTAGTGGCCTTGGCAGAGTTGGGTTAACTGCAGGGCTTGATGACCTTAGAGGTGTCTTCCAGCCCAAATGATTCTGTGATGCTAGGATACAGAATGCCATTACTCTCTGGGATTAAAAAAATAAAAAAAAAAAAAAAAAACAAAAAACAAAAAAACAACAAAAAAGCAAACCAGCAAACCAACAAACAGAGGAGAATCAATCCCTCCTTTACAGGGACATGTCTTCTTAACTGATCTGCCATGAAAGTGCTGCCTTTTGCGACAGGCTCTCATGAGAAAATCAGGTAAGGCAAAGCAGCTCAGCTGGGACAGTCACCGTGAGTGACCTTCATTAGCTATTTATAACCTAATCTCTTCTCTGCCTGTGGGAATGAAGGAGCTGACTTCCAAAGGCCAACACAGGGATGGGCTCAGTTTTCAATATCCTCTACATTTCCTGGCTTTGAAATGCAGCCAACTGACAAGGATGACATGTCCCTTTCTCACAAACCAGGTCTGCTTTCAGAGCAAGCATCTCAGCTGATGATCACTCTCCTCATGTTTGATAAGTTATTCCTGGAAGATCACCACTCTGCTTCTCCTCTGCCCCTCCACAGGGGCTCAGAAGCACTGACACACCTCACAAAGGTGGGCATCAGTAATGCTCACAAGATGTGCAGTGTAGTGACCCATCCAGAGCAAAGTGAACACCACTGAGCAGTTCTGGGAGCTTTCCTGTCAGTAACAAGCACTACCAGGGCAGCTGGTGGAGCCAAAAGAGAAAGGATGATCCAACTCTTAACAGCTTGCACCACTGAAAGAAATAATGTTGCCAATCCCAATCTTGCCTCCAGCAGGTTCTGATTCAGTTCACATCAACAGAAAAGTAACCAGAACAGAGAAGATGGGAAGCAAAAGGGCAGACAAAGGGGAAATCTTGTGTGAGTTTAATGAACTGAATCAGCTCACTGCAGACTTATAGAAGTATTAAGGCTCACAGAAGGAAAGGAAAAGGACTGGGTAACTGGAAGCCAGAGAAGAAAGAAGATAGTGCAGAAAGGAGAGGAACATATCTGTTATATCAACTTGATCAACTCATTAAACCATCCCACAGGTCATCTGTCCTTGTATCTGTGCCAGGGCTTCTGTATCACAGCTACCAAAACTCCCAGTCCAGGACTGCTGAGCACTGGGGTGTCCCCTACCTGTCAGAGCCACAGCATGGATGTCACCTGGTTACAGGGACCTGCTTTACAAACCCAGACTACAGAGCTAGAAGGTGTCTGCCCTGTGGGGAACAGGGTGCTCCAACACATAAAACTTGTTATGTGAACCTCCTGATACTCCTTTTGTGTGACACAAAACACCAGTGGAAGGAACAGGGCTCTGGCACAGAGCAGTTTTGTCACAGACATGGAGGACAGCAGCTGTGCCTGCTGTTCAAGGCTCAGTATTACACACAATGATGAGGGTTGGTGTTATCCAGGATTTAAGAGCCACACATCCTGCTAACCCTGGCTCACCCAGCTGGGTGATAGATTTTATCCTGGTAACTTTTGTGTGCAACCTACTGACAATTCATGTAACGTCTAGTACCTGGATTAGTCCAGAAGAATTCCAAGATGTTATTTCTGAACACTGTGAATACACAACCTTTAACTGGATGATGAAAACCAAATAATCACATGAGGTATTTAGTGGTTTACTGACACTGTAGGAAGCTTTTAATATAAGAACCATTCCAAGACTACTTCCCCTTTAGTAATCTAAATATTTCTACAAGTACTGTCATATGATCTTAGACACTTTGTGTTTTGGCATTACAAATATGACAGCAGCATTTTGATTATGCACAGCAAATCTCTCTGGGTTTAAAAGGTATGTCAGGCTGCATGTATTTGATAACATACTAAATGACACTTGGAAAGGTATTGAATAATTTACACTTTATCATAGGTCTTTCATGAGCATTTTATACAATTCCTTTCCACAAGCTTCAAAACAATATCTAACTTTGTTTTTAAAACCAATTAAATGTGTTCTGCAATGTGTACCATGCAAGTTGTATTGCCTTATAAAAATGGAATTGACACTGGTACACTAGCTAACAAATTTCCACAGCATAAATTATTCACATCTCACCCACCACTTGATAACACCGCTAATCACAGAAAGGATTCAAGAATCTCCTATTTTCTAAGGTGTGATTTCACAATATTATCAATGAAAAACTTCTTGTGAGGGAAAATACCTGTGCAGATCACAGAAACAATAGAATATAACATCTATAAAAGAGAATATGCAACATTCCTGAAACACGGATTTTAAATATTCCTAATTTCTTTGAATTTGTGGAACTTGTTAAAATCGGGACCCTAAAGAGAATTTACAAACTGAGTATTGCCAAATGTGACATCTGCTAGAATATAACTCCACTTGTGAGAAATTATGTATAGACTATTTACAATACTTCTGCAGAAGATTGTGCATCCTTTAAAACAACCAGCAATTTCAGCACAATTGTGTTTATGAACATAAACCACAGAAATAGATGCACAACACCCCTGTAGTGAACAAGTAACCACAGTAATCTATCCTTTGGTTTAATCCCTATTTGTTTTATTGGTATTTACAATTCTGAGCTCCCCATTTTCTCTAGTAGACTACTGCGTCTTTCTGCAAATAAATTTAAGTTTCCTCTTGTTTTTCTATCAGGAAAGTGGAGAGAGTTTCCTTCCTTCCTGTCCTGAGTAGGTATCACCAGTTTACCCTCCTAAAAAGCTAAAGAAACTTAGGTTATGCCACTTCTTTTAACCAACTAACCAGCAACATGAAAAACCTCAGCAAATGTGCCTAGGCTATGAAAACCCCCCCAAATTCTGCAGTTGTCTTTCTACTGTTCATTGTTCCTGGTATTACTTGAGAAGATCACAGTCAGAGGGAAGGCAGATGTCACTTACTGCTCTGGGTCTCAATATAAGTTTAACAAGTGAGAGGTTTTTCAAAAGCAGAGGGATAAAATGAATTTTGACTGCATTTCACTCTTTTCAAATCACATTTCTCCTGCTCAGTCTATAAATAAGTACAACCAGCATTTAACAATATCCTTTTGGCTTTATTGAAATAACAAGATGTATCCTTTTAAAACTGCAACCATGTGCTTATACCACAACTAGGAATACAATTCTTGTCCTAAAACTTTTAAGTATGACAAAACTTGCAGATTTCAGCACAAATGACTTGGAGATTTCTGTTCCTATTTTATGCTTCCTCTAAATCCCAGGTTTCTCTTCAGTTTGCAAGAAACCTCTTACAACAACAAAAACCCCTTAAAACAAAGAAAACATTGCTCACAGCTTTTAATGAGGAGTTTGATGGGTTTATTTCCCCCCATTCCACCAGCTCTATTTCACTACAAGATCTTTCTTAGTAAACCAAATTACAGAGTATTTTTTATGACAAGGCAGGAAGACTTGTATGACTGACATTGAACAGACTCATATTCTTACTTCCATTCTTCTGGAGGGTGGGCTAGTTCAAATTTCTCTCTCACATTGGACACCCCCATGTCCAGGTGTAGCCAGTGAACTTCCTCAGACTGCAGGTGACTGAGCCGTAACCCATAGCAGGCCACATTCTTCACTTTGTGACAGTCCACGATCTTCTGAATTATGCCCTAAAACACAGAAATACACAATCCTTACAAGCTGTAAAATACAATAAATATATCTTTTTTTAATCTTAAATATTACCATGTAATACCTTACACAAAATACTAAGCAGCATATAGGTAGCGACTTCATTAAAAATACTAAACATATTTTATTGTAAGCTTCTCTTTCACACAACCAATTACAACTGCTGAAGTTTTACCAGCACGACCTCAGAAAACATCATAAATACGTTCCATGCATTTTATCAGATTCAGGCCAGTATTTCCTCTACGTAAAATAGAGTAACATAAAAGCCAAAATTTCAAAAGCACGTTTGTGGATGAAAGCAAAACGTATTACTTAACAAAAACCCCACCAGTGGTCTTTAAAAGTCACTCTCCATCAAGAACCACAAAATCATCTTGGACTTTCATCCTCTTCAGTGACCCAACAGCCAGGATGTCATAGGTCACACCACAGCCCCTTGGTTTCCTTCCCCCTCCTCCCTACTCATTTGAGATTCAGCAGAGATCCCTTATAAAACCAGGCAAGAAACAATTATTTAGGAACATTCTCAAACACAACAAATGTTGTTTGCCCTGAGGTAAATTTCAGAGTTTGCAGATCTCTTGCCCAAGAAAGGAACCTTTTACATAAACCCACAGCAGATTGCCATGTCAGCCATCAGAAAGGACTGACATGCAGTAACTAAAAATCAAACGTGTTGTGGAGCAGGGATGAGCAACCTTTCATGTGCAGCATGCCAGGCTGTCCTGCTCTCATCCTGATTAGGGAGACAGCAGGAGCTCTGCTGCCTCCTCACAACCCTGTCCAAGGGAAGCCATGTCTCTCTGCAAGGCAGCAGATCCCTGCTGCAGGAGCTCACAGCTCAGCAGGAGCCAGGGCTATCACTGCTCCCAGACTCTTCTCTCAGGCATTCACAGGCCTTTGCTTCTGTGCCTGGAATGGTCTGAGAATTTCCTACTGAAAAGGCTCATACAGGTACACACAACACAGAGATGCATGCAGAGATGCACAAGTGATTCTTGCTCAGAATTCCAACAAAACATCAGCACATAACCAGTGGAAGTTCTACAGGAGCCAGAGGTGAAGTTCTGGAGTGAGTTAGGTGAGAGGGTTTTCTATAGGATGGTACTGTCAGTCTGGAGAAAAGGAGGCTCAGGGGGGGCATTAATGCTCTCCTCAAGTCCCTGACAGGAAGGTGAAGCCAGGAGGGGGTCAGACTCTTCTCCCAGGGAACAAGGGACAGGATGAGAGGAAATAGCCCCAAGCTGCACCAAGGGAGGTTTAGATTAGGTATTAGGAACAATTTCTTCACTGAAAGAGTAAAAGCCTTGGAACTGGCTGGTCTGTGAAGTGGTGGAGTCATCATGCCTTGAAGTGTTCAAAAACCATGTGGATGTGGCACTTGAGGACATTGTTTAGTGGTGAACTTGGTTGTGGTGCTGGTCTCATAGCTGGATTTGATGACCTAAGCAGCCTTTCCCAACCTAAATGATTCCGTGATTGCTTTCCAAAATTTGTTGTTTTATGCCCCAAAGAAAATGTTTAAAACCCTGATTCTGCAAATTAAGCAAGCAGAAAACTAACTGCAAAAAGAGAATTAAGAAAGCACTAAATCTGAATAGAGGGGGAAGATGACACATGTAGGAGTGGAATCATGCTGTTGGTGAGGTTATATCAAGCTGTTAAATCAGCTCACACATCTCCTCAAACTGCAACCTTTAAATAATCTCTCAGAAGCAACACAGTGCACAGAGAAATGTAAAACAAAATTCTTTCAAGCCTACAGGAAGGAAACACAAGCCATGTTAAGTAAGTTCATGGAGACTGAGTTAGAAGAGGCTCCATCATGCCCAGCAGGACCCTGAGTCTGAGAGCAGCAATGTGAGCACCCTCAGAAGCATCTTTTTGGTTCAGAGCCTGCAGTGTCCCAAATCTCCCTTGTCTCCCATGCCCTGGGGTTGGACATTCGGTGCAAAGTGGATGGCGAGCCCAGACCAGAAGGAAGATGGACAGCAGCAAAACAAGGAGGCTTGCAGAGGCTGGTGTTGTGTGGGAAGGAAACTTCACCACACTGTGGGCAAATCCAAGCTTTCAAGCAGCTGGCAGCACCACAGACTCACCAGCCACAGCCTGTCCCGACAGCCAGAAGGTGCCCGAGCTGCTGGGAACAAAGATCTGATGCAAACGAGCAGCTCCCTGCAGGCACCTCGGTAAAACAACTCAAGGAGGAAGCAGAGAGGCCACAGATGGGTGCCAGGGGATGAGGCAACACCAGGCAAGCACAAGGGAACACTTCCCCCAAGTGCTCTCCTAACCTCAGCCTATTTTTATCCCAGTGGATTTCCCAAGCCAAGCATTGTTTCTGTCATTCATCAGCCTTCAGTGAAACTCTTCCAATTACTCATCCTGTCTCCTCTTAAAGCAATTCACTTTTTGCAACCTTCCCCAGCAATTCCAAAGGTCTATTATCAGGTCAGTGAACAGGTTTTAAATCTGCATTTAATGTAAATTGTTTAAGTTTGTTTCTTGCCTGCATTTGAAGCTCTTTGTATCACAAACTACAAAGGAGAACAGTTGCCTGTATCCCTGGAAACACTCACCACCACCAAGTACTCTCAGAAGAGACAGAGGCATATTTAACCTCTTCTTCACCCAAAGAACAAGCTCTGCTTAGTTAGTAAAGCCTAACATTTTAGCAGGCGAGCTCTCATCCAAAGGAATGGTGCCAGCTTTTCTCTATGCAAACAGAAGAGATTCACTCAATTTCATCTCTTCCTGCACCCTGCACAGAGCATGTAGCATACAGCATTACATTTCTGAAATCCATCCCTCCTCCCATCTCCGACCCTGTCAGTTGATAATGAAAATGGAGGTACGTGTTCTCAGATGATAGTTACGCCTGCTGTGATAAGAAATGGCTTTGGAAAGGAAAAAATTATGGTAAAATTATCTATGACCATGAACTACTGAGACAAGTGATGCATAAGGTTCAGCTGAAACCATTAGTGCTTACTCAGGAAAGAAGCAAGATGGACATCTCAGACCCTCTCTGGTCTTCAGGCTGGGATTTCAAAAGGACTGAAGAAGTCAGATGTCCTAATTCCCACCAAAATCGAGCAAGATTTTAAGCCTTTTTTTGTATCATCATTCAAGTCTAAACCTATCACAGAATCGAAAGTCAAAAATAAAAATAAACATATTTTCTGATTTGTGTAAGAAGGGTGAGGTATGTGGTGAGGTAGTTGTTGTCAGCCCAAGAAAATAATTAGCAACAATTAGTACATGCTGCAACTCAGGAAAAAGCACAAACACTACAGAGACAGCAGAATGGGGGCACAGGAGGTCAAGTGCAAGTGTAGGAAAATGTATTCTAAAAAGCCATGTATTGTCAGGAAGGAAGAAGTGGTGCTTTATATGACACAAACACATCAAGTGCTTCTCTTTGCTGTTGTGTAGGAAAGCTGCAGAGCTCATTCCAGGTGCTATCAACTCACAGTCAGAACCAAAAACTGGAGAAATAAGGAAACATGGTGATTTAGACACTCAAAATGGCTGGTTTGCAGTTCTAGTAAAACATCCATTTTCTTATACATGTTTTTATTAATAAACCAGAGGATTTGAATTTTAAAGCCACATGTCCCCAGGAGAATGCAGCACAGAAGAGGGAGGCTCATCCAGCCCCAGGGACTTGCCCAACCCTGGCTGCTCTTTCCAAACATTCCAAGATTAATCTCCAAGGCTTGCACTGGCACTGCAGCCAGCATCAGGACAGTGCATTTAACTCCCACCAGTAGTAAATAACATGTTCAGTCTCCTCAGGTCCTGGGCAACCTCCACAGACCCAGTGGAGATGCCTGGAGCGTCCAACAAAGCCACTGCCATCATTCCAGGATGGGTGACAGCCTCTGTGCTTCCACAGTGGCTCTGTGAGGAGCTCTGCCAAAGCAGCCTGATGTTCTGTGTGGCAGTGATGAGAATGTTTAATCAGAAGTTTCCAGACAAACAACTTAACTGCTTAACCACTGCACAATAGCAACTACAGCATCCTACTGAGACATGTCACCACAATCCTTTAGCTGGAAGCACGGCCAAAGAAATCTGAAATCTCTCCAGACTCTACTGCAACCAGCCTTTCAGCTCAGGAAACTCCTCGGATGGATTGCTAAGTGGAAAAAAACAGGTAAGGACCATCACTTTCAAACTGGACCACAAACTTCTGACCTCAAATTAATCACAGCTAGGAATACTTATTGGAAAGCTTGACTCCAGCAGAAAACTACTCCAGAATGAGATTTCACTTAGGGTACAGGGGATCCCTACATGAATATAAATTCCTATGAGGAGTTTTCATGTGTCTGTTAGCAGCTCCCTACAAGGCAGTCTCACAATCATCTGCCACTTGAATGCAGTTCACCGTAATCACATTGATTTTAATTAAGTGTTTGAAGCTGACATTTACATCCTGAACATAAAATAGACTAGTACAGCTGAGCAAGAGATAGTGGGAAGCCTTCAGAGGAATTTCTTATCAATAACAGGCAAGGGATAGGTGACCTTTCACTCCCTTTACCCCAGAGAGAGGAAGAAAAAGCTTCTTCTATAGGTAGAAAACTCATTCCTACTCATTTGTTAAGGAAGCACAGATATGCATCACAACTAATTTAAAAAATAGATTCATATTTGCCCTAAATTCAGCGAATGTGCCCAAAATTAGAATTTACAGTACAGTATATTTAGAAGAATGTTGAAAAATCATGACAGACCAGAGAAAGGCCAAAAGGCACACATACTCTTGGCTCTCCCAGTATGTATCAATAACACTTTGCTTCTGTAAATGAGTGAAAATTAATTGATTGCTTGTAAATTAACAAGACTGATGTGCTACTATGAATAAATTGAAGACAGAATAATATACTCCCAGTGTGACTACAAACCTAATTTCCTTATTTAGTTGGAAGGAGAAAGTTTCTTGCACCAGAAAAAGTCTTTAAGTAGC